GTGGTTGCCATTTCCCATTGCTGTATTGTTGGAGAACTGCTCCTGCTGAGAGATCGGATGCGTCGCTGAAGATAGCAAGGGTTGCTTCGTGTGATGGGTGAGCGAGTAAAGCTGCATTTTGGATCGCAATTTTACAAGCTTCAAATGCCTTCGTGGCTTCATCGTTCCATTCGATTGACGTTTTATCTTTTTTCTTCGTGTTGTGAAGGTAGGCGTGAAGTGGTGCTTGGATTTCAGCGGCTTTAGGTATGTGTTCTCTGTAAAAATTTATCATCCCAAGAAAACGCCTTAGCTCTTCGATAGTTTTAGGTTTTGCATAATCGATGATTGCTCTGACTTTTTCGGCAGGCGGTTTTATTCCTTCCTTGCTGACGGTGAAACCAAGAAATTGAACTTCTTGCTGTCCAAATATGCATTTCGAAGGGTTGATTGTGATTCCGTTGTCTTCTAATCGCTGTAGCACGGTGCGTAGATGGGTTTCGTGCGTTTCTTTATCAGGGCTTGCAACAAGGAGATCATCAATAAATGCGAAAACGAAATCCAGTCCATGAAGTACTTCGTGTATGAATCTTTGGAAAGTTTGACCTCCGTTCTTTAATCCTGGGATCATTCTTGGGAATTCGAATAATCCCATTGGGGTAATTATTGCTGTCTTCTCTATGTCTTCATCGCGGACTCTTATTTGTTGGTAAGCTCGGTTGAGGTCGATGGTGGAGAATATAGTCTTGTCTGATAGTTGATGAGTGAAATCCCTGACTCGCGGTATTGGGTAGCGGTCAGGAGTGGTAATAGAATTCAGTCTTCTGTAATCTCCACAAACTCGTAATTCTCCGTTCTTCTTCGGTACAATGTGAAGTGGTGATGACCAAGGGCTTTTGCTTGGACGGCATATTCCTTGCTCAATCATGTTTTCGAATTCCTTTCGAACTTGCTCGTATAGGTGTGGTGCGATTGGACGTGCACGACAATGAAGTGGTGGTCCATTGGTGTCGATGAAATGCTCAACGTCGTTCTTCGGTGTTAATTTCATTGAAGTTATTCTTGTGATACCAGGGTATTCTTCGAGGATCTTGTGATACGGTTGTTGCACATCTATGCTTCTTATTGTGGGCAGATTGGTTGCTTGTACAAAAGACTGAGATGCAAGATTGGTTTTCCCGTCGATGATTCTTCTATTTTTGATGTCGACGACCAACTGGTGATGTTGAAGAAAATCAGCACCGATGATTGGTTTGCTGACTTTAGCGACGATAAATCTCCATTTGAATGGTCGGCGTAGATTTTTTTTTTTTTTTTTTTTTTTTTTTTTATGGGATAGGGTGACAAACTAGCACACAGTCCACCTGATGGTAAGTGGTTGCTGTGGCCCATAGACATCTACATCTATCCTCGATTACGAATCAAAATGCAGATGCGTTGTCACCCGTGAGGACTAAGATGGAATGCCTCGTTTCCAGTAAAAAGGGTCTCCGGTTCTCTACACTCACCATACGAAATACAGCAGCATTAAGCGACTATTTCACGCTGGTATTCTGTGAGAGCGTGGTCCTTCCCCGGTCGAGCCGACCCATTCATGCTACAACTATACTACTAATATAACTGCAGCATGGCTCTACCACGTATAAAAAGATTAAAATCAAGTTCCATTGTTTTTTCTCCATATGTAGGAATAACCGTATTGTTTGCTGCATAGAGTTGAAAATCTAGTGGCTTCAACTTCTGTCCTTGCTTCGGCGGTAACACTGAGATATTTGCTCCGGTGTCGATAAGGAAAGTGAGCTTGCTTTTTTTATCGGTGACGAAAAGACGGTAGGACTTTGCTGTTACGCTGGATCCCGTCGCATCGAGCGTACTAGTTAGTTTTCCGTATTCGTATTTTCATTTTTGAATGTACACGGTGCTGTGCATTTTCTTGCCTCGACCCCGAAACGCCGATGATAGTAGCAGTAAGGGGATCTTGATGTTGAGCTTATTCGACTTCTACTTGCAGAGCGGTTGCGACGAAAAGGTGATCTTCGGTGTTGCTGATTGCGCTGGTTGTACTGTTGCTGGTAAAAGGTATGATGCTGGGAAGCTTTGAGCGCGGCGACTTCGAATGATAGCTTCCGAATTTCTTCGAGAAGAAACTGGGTATCATTGGCCTTTGTTGAAGTGCCTTCGATGATCGATATGTGTGAGCTACTGCTGTTTTCGATCATCTTGTCCGCCAGGAGTGCCAGTTCGTCGAGCTTCGTCTGCGTGCTGAATGTTTCGCTGACTGCTATTACCGATCGAATATGTGGTGGTAGGTGGTTTACCCACATTAGCCGTAGTGTTGAATCCGGAACTTTATCTCGCGCCAAAGTACGCATTTTGCGTAGGAGTTGTGTGGGTTTCTGGTCTCCAAGTTCTATTTCTGATAGAAGTTTTTGTAGCTGTCGACTGTCGGATTCTTCATATGCGGAGATCAGCCGATCCTTCAGTGAATTATACTGGTCGACTGCTGGTGGGTTGTACAACAGGTCCGCAATTTGTTCGATGTCTTGTTTCTCAAGTTGGGCTATCACCATCTGTGCTAATTGCGCTTGGCTCTTCTTTAAACCATTCGTTGCGGCTTCAAAACTGACGAACCAAAGTCGTGGTTTGTCTCTCCAAAACGGTGGTATTCTTAACGATAGAGATATACCGGCGATTTCTGGTTCCTTTGGGTTTGATGTATATGTGTTTGCCTCCTGCTCCATAATGACGGCTTGATTACACTGATTTTATATAAACTGAAGTCTTCCTTCTCGGTGTTCATACGGGTTTCCTTCGCGGTGTTCGTGCAATAGTAGTGGTACGTCGCAGGGTGTTCCTTCTTGGTGTTCGTACCGGATCTTCCCCCCTCGGTGTTCGTACGGAGTCACCACTGTAATAGTGGAGACGAACTCACGTCGGGGTCACCACTGTAATAGTGGAGACGAACTGTCCACTATTAACAGACTCCGAGTGGTTTTCTTTAAGGGGAGAAATGAAACTACTGTTTATAAGCAAAGCGGAGTATGAATTTAGAATGTACTGTCGAATGGGATTCGGAATGGAATATCTTTTGCATCAACCTTGCCTATATTTATATGGCTGGCTCACTATTGATTTGCCAATGGTAACAATTAATATTTTGCCTAGCCAATTATATTGCTTATTTTATGACCAATGAAAACTATTTAAAATATACAATTATCTACGTTTCGTTTCCCGGCGTGAGACTTGTTTGTTGTTCACGAAGCTACGTCGCTGGACCGGGCTATATAAGACATGCAGATCGGTGCGCACGCGTAGTCGGCGGGCGGCGGCGGTGTGGAATACAGCTCCGGAACAGCAAGAGGAAACGAACTGCGGCGTTGAAGAAACGGCTCACCATTGGTCGACGGATACGTGACGATAGCGGCGTGTGAAGTCGGTGTGGCGCTGAATGATATTTGCGGCTGCTTCTTGTTTCTTTATAAGAACGTCAAATTATCTATATACAGTCCGCAGTATCTCAGTGGCCAAGAATAATTAGGAAATAAAATTTATTCTCGCCTTCCGCGTTATGGTAGCAGCGGAGTATATATTGTTTATTCCCGTTTAGGTTTGATTAATCTGGCTGCTACATATTTGTCCTATACTTAAATATCCACAGAAATGTCGCATCTGAACATATTAATTTCATAATCTATATTCCATGACACGAGATGGCATCTAAGGAATAATTTGTTTTATTATTAATCTAAAATACTTCTTTTATTGATTAATTATCTTATTAACCGATGAAAAGTAATTCCTTGGTTTTACTGACATTTCTTGAATTACTTGCGCAAATTCTAAGTACACGTGAAAATTCTACAAGCGTCTAGCGAGTGACTGATTAAAGTGCGGTGTATGCACCGCAGTTGAGTGGAACACAGTAGCTGAATACAGTGTCGCCTCTAGTACGTAAGTACATAATAGCTCAATGATTACGTAGACAGAGAAACCTATAGACAAATTGACGCCTTCTGCATTCGCACACACGAAAAAGATAGATTTATGCATACGTCTTGTATAGAAATGAGACAGAGCAGTGTGATTGTTTGTCCCTTTCTCCATGCCGGTTTTTTTGTTTAGCAAAGTGCAGTTTGCTAAACAACTTTGACACATCGTAGCAATATAAGGAGTTTGCAAGTTCGTTTAAGTGAGAAAAAAAGTGTTTTGTGAGCTTAAGATAGGTGAATCTTGTTCAGTTCAGTTCTTAGAACAATTAAAAATTTTATCTAAATATGTTTAAAAGTCATAAAGATTATTGTATAACCTGAACCTACGTTATCGTCCTTTCTCACTCGAGACACGCTAATCATTAGTCTATAGGTTTCTCTGTCTACGAATGATTATATATTACTACATATTTTATTTTTTTGTTAAATTTAGTAGATACTAGATAGAGTAGTTGTCAAGCCCAAGATTAGTCAAGCAAGATCAATCCATGATAATTCAAAAGTTGCTATTCATCGGAATTGGTATTGGCCTTGATCGAAATATCGACGATGTTATCAGATAACTGAAAGTGTTAATATTCACTTACAATATTACTCAGCTGGTGCTTAAAAAAACCTATAGAATAATGATGTTCAGTGAGCAGTGAGCGCACGACACAGGCGCACACGTATAGCTAAACGTTTGCACTCTTGTTTACGTACTACTATCTACGTCATACGACATACAACATATATCACCAACCTTTTTTTCGTAACTGTAGTCATTGATACTGTTACTTCAACGATGAATATTTGTGAATCATGTTCAAATGAGTTCAATGATGGAGCGCAATGTTACGTTTGTAAAAAACACTACGACTTTGGTTGTGCTGGTATAAGAGCGAGGTTTTCGGAACTTAGGAGCAGATCGCCTTCAGTGCAAAAAAGGTTTCCTTCAGCCCCTCCCGTCCAAGTTCTGAAGCGACCTCTGGTGGCAATTCTGGCGGGGAGTCGGCGACCTTGGATGTTATTCTTAAGGAGATTCGTGAGATGAAGAAGCTGGTCACAACAGTTCCAACTCTTATCGAAGACATCAAATCTATTAAAGTTGAATTAATCCATCTGAAGGAGTCTTGTGAGTACAATAGTAGTTCACTTAAATATTTTCAAGATCAATTCTCCACTTTGGAACGTGGTGTATCTCAGATTGAAAAGATTCAAAATTCTCTCACTGTGGCCAACAAGGAAATAGCTAATCTTAAAAGTGTTATTGAGACCAAAGAACAATGGTCACGGCTGAGTAATGTTGAGATAAAGGGCATCCCCCTAAAACTCAATGAAAACCTATTTGTAATTGCGGAGTCTTTGGGTAAAGCAGTTGGGTATGAATTCCAAAAATTTCAAATCAATTACATATCCCGAGTACCAATGTTTAATACCAAAGAGAAGGCCATCATTATCAATTTCATAAATCGTTATGTCAAAGAAGAATTTGTGGCAGCTGCACGCGCCTGCAAAACTCTAGAGGCGAAGGATGTGGGATTTGGAGGCAATCGTCAACGCGTTTTCGTAAATGATCATTTGACTCCAGAGCACAAAAAACTTCTTACCAAAACAAGGACCTTAGCAAAAGACCGAGGTTATTCTTATATCTGGGTCATATACGGAAAAATTCATGTTCGTAAAAATGATACTTCGCCGGTTTTAATTATTACTAAAGAGGATGATTTAAACGAAATAGCTTAATCTATTGTTTATTAATGTTTTTTTACATTACTTCTTTTAATATTATTAACAATTCTTACCTCTGTATAATTAACTTTTGCTTTTATGGAATTACGAAGCTGTTTTTAAAAAGTGACAAAATGCTTGTTACCCCTGCCTTACCTGCTTCGTTGACGCATCGCTATTTGTTAAAATTGCCTCTCTGTTATCAGTTGTTTGCTTCTGTTGACGGTTGCTTAAGTATGCATCATATTTTGCACTCATTAGATGATACAGTTTTATTTTTTCTACCCGTTTGTAAATATTATACGCTAACTTATTATAGTCTTAGTGAATTTTTAAATATTGGTATATTGTTTTCTAATTTTACTAACGGGTTTTTGAAATATGACGGGAGATATATATTCCTTTATTGTAGTAAAATTATCTTGGTTATTGATAGGCTTAAAAATGGCTATACTACATATTAATAGTGTACGTGTAGGGTTTGGCAGTGACAACCTAAGAATATATTATCAGAACGCAAGAGGCTTGCGCTCTAAAACCGACATATTTTATCGTAATATTCTTTTATGTGATTATGATATAATATTAATTACGGAGACATGGCTCCTGGACAGAATTAGTGATACGGAATTATTTGATAATCGATACGTTGTATGGCGGCGTGATAGCAGTTACTGGTCAGAAATACGGTGGTGGTGTTTTGATTGCGACGCGTAAAGATCTAGAAGCTATCCCGCAGCCTTCCTTTCATTCAAGTGCTGAGGACCTATGGTTAACGTTGTCTATTCACCATATTACCCGTAAAAAACACAAGAACTTGCATATTTGTATCTTATATTTGTGTAACGAAAATCGGGGTCTCAGTTTTACTGCTCAACTTCAAAATTATTTGCACTCGGTTAGCGAAGTTGTGAGTCACTCGGACGATAGCTTTTTATTAGTTGGCGACTTTAATATTAGTGATATTATATGGGTGCCTGACATCGACGCCGCCGACGGTTCATTTTTAGGTACAAATTTTCGTTCGGGATATGAAATTTTATTAATAGATGAATTAAGCTCGCTAAATTTGAGACAATTTAATGGTATAAAAAATGCCCATGGCAGGATCCTTGACCTTGTTTTTTCTAGCGACGCTGTAACCGTTCGTGATTTAAGTGGGGATTCTCTTATTCCTGTTGATCCTTATCATGGTGCCCTTTTAATATCTTTTGATAACGTTGATTGTGACTCATTAAATAGCAATTCTCGCCTTAAGTTCTTATATCATAAAGGTGACTATTATTCATTAAATGGTGAGATTGCCAATATCCAATGGGGTGAAGTTATGTCTCCGTTATCCTTAGATGAATCTGTTCAATACTTTTATAGCACACTCACGTCACTTAGAGACAAATATATCCCCTCAAAATTAATTCTTGCCGACACTTATCCCAAATGGTATACAACACCACTTAAAAAAGCTATTAAAGAAAAACCTAAATTTTTACGTAAATTTAGGATCTATGGCTGTAGGAATGACTATGAAACTTGTAGGTATTGTTCCTACCACCTGGAAGCGTGCATTTATCACGCCTGTACATAAAAAGGGTTCCAAGACCGAAGTTACTAATTATCGACCGATTTCCAAGTTATGTATTGTATCTAAAGTGTTCGAACGAATTATATATAATCAATTATACGCGGCCCTAAAGCATTCATTCAATCCGACTCATCTTGCGCTCTTTAATGCATATTTGACTGAGGCAATGGACAATCGCCACCAGGTAGATGTCGTTTACACCGATTATAGTAAAGCCTTTGACAGAATACATCATAATTTGCTATTGCTGAAACTGTCCCAGATCGGTATAAACGGCGATCTGCTTCGGTGGTTTACGTCTTATATAAATAATCGATCACAAGCTGTTGTCGTTAGCAACTACATATCAGGATGGGTAACTATTCCAAGTGGGGTGCAACAGGGCTCAATGCTGGGTCCGTTATTATTTGTTATTTTTATTAATGATATTACCTATTACTTGAAGAAAGCTCACTTATTATGTTTTGCCGATGATATGAAGCTATTTCTGAAAATAACATCAATCGAGGATGCTGAGGCTCTACAAGAAGATCTAACAAATCTAGAGCGTTATTGCCACCTAAACTTCTTAGATTTGAACCCTTCGAAATGTAGCTTTATGTCCTATAGTCGCAAATATAAATCGATTGTCTTTAACTATAAATTGAAAGGTGAAAATCTTAAAAGGAATTCCATTGTTAGAGATCTCGGTGTTCTTCATGATTCCAAATTGATATTTGACGTTCACTTAGGAAGCATTATAACCAAATCTACGAAAGCTCTTGGATTTTTGATGCGTAGCTCTAGGGACTTCACTAAAGCTAAAACTCTTAAGATCCTATATTGTTCTCTTGTAAGAAGTAATTTGGAGTACGCATCTCAAATCTGGAACCCCAGGTATGCAACATATATTACCCGACTTGAAAATATCCAAAGTAAGTTTATGCGTTACCTTTGTTATAGAACCAATGACTATAGCTATACCTCAGATAATTATATTAGTTATTGTAAAAAACATCACCTTCCTCCTCTTGCTATGCGTCGTGAGATTTCTGACCTCACTTTTCTGTTAAAAATAGCTTGTAGTGCTATTGACTGTCCTGAGCTTTTATCTCAACTACATGTTAGCTGTTAAGCAAACCTCTTAGATACAACAAAATTTTAAGTCTCCCGTTTTCATCTACAAATTATAGGCATAATACATTTATATGGCGAGCGAGCAATAATTTCAATAAGTTAGCCAATGAGTTTAACTTCGATTTGTTTAACACTAGTGCTGCGTCAGCTAGGCGCATACTTAACAATGCATTTTTGGTAGCTCTAAGTGAGATATTGATGGGTTGCTACACAACTATGATTTATTTTGTATTTGTGTTTATTTTTCTCTTAAAATAGCTTGTAGTGTTATTGACTGTCCTAAGTATGAGTTGATTGTCTTTTATATGTATAATACAAATTTAGCTCTCATTTGGTATAAATATGTTATATTGGATACTTTCGAGTGTTAAATCGTATTTATCATTGTTGTAAATTCACCTTTGGATCTATTAGTGAGGATCTTTAATTGGCTTACTGTTGTTATTAATACTATCTATCCTAATTATGATAGCTGTTGGTCTTCCAAATAAAAATAAAAAAATAAAATAAAATAAAATTATGCGATAATGATAAAAAAGGTAATTTTGATTATCATCCACCCCCGAATACTTAGAATGAAATATATTACTAAATATTTATTTAATAACTTTCAATTTTTTTGCGAACTAGTGGTAAATGAAAAAAGTGACTTTCAATAGGTATTGTTCATAATCTAGATTGAATAAAAAAAGTTTCTGTTTCTGTATATAATAGAATCAGATAATATAGTATGCATATAAAAATGATATCCCGTTCTAGAACTGTAACGATTATTGATACAGTTCCGTATTTTTTGATAGGATTTAATCGATTCTTATCTTATGGCTCGTAGACGCACGAAATAAATAAATGTATGTATATTAAGAGGATACCTTGAAAATGAATCGAAGTTTTGGGGGCGTGGCTTATTCCTTTGTCGGTGAAGCTAACGGACGACTGAAGGAGTGTCAAAATGAAATTGATGCAATGACTTCATAGTACGCAAATTATGAGATAGCCATACCGAGCAAGCACTCGGAAAAAAACTAAGTAAGCGCAAAACAACATTTTTATTTATTTTAACAAAATTTCGTTATGGATTAAAAAACTGGTTTATGAGAACTTAGATATGATTATTTACTATGCCTTAAAAATAATTCCGTGAACTTATTCGATGACACCACAATATTCTTGTCATCGAAAAATGTAACTAATTAGAGCCTACTTTGCAATTTTTTTCTATCGAGAAAATTTCATGATATCGTGTTTTCCTTTTATAGAATTCAAGGTCATATAGTCAAAAATCATAAACTGAAATTTTGGTTTGTAATCTATAAAACTTAAAAAAAATATTTTAAATAGAAAAACCACCAAATTTTCGAGGTATCACCTTAAAACTTCATTGCCTAAAGACTTGATTATATTCCTGCCCCTAATGTCTACAGGGACATGGCTAAAAGCAAGTTGTGGTTAGCGGCGGACTGGAACACCCGGGCATAAGGGTACAACCTGTTCCGCAACAATCAAGTAATTTATTGAGAACCATTTGAGAACGTTTGCGTGTATGTCAATATTTTTAAGAGGAAACTCATTTTTTTGTTTTCACGAAACTTGTATTTCTATTTTCGTACGTATAAATTGTGTTATGTATTATGTAATAGCAATAAGTGGGAATATTATGTATATAGGAAGGATATACCTTTTAATGGGTACAAGCACATATTTACTATGATTTGGGATATGTATACTCAAAGGTATTTGGTAATTTATATATAGATGTTAAGATTGATATTGTTGTCTCTATGGTTCCATAAGAGGAACTCACGTAATCTTTGTTTTGAGACTTGATATTTAGTTTGTAATAAATACCAGTAGTCGTTGTTAACCACTATGAAGCAATGTAGAATGTACCTATGTACAGTCCTCGCGGCGTAAGCTGATCTTTGCATTTGTATGAGTGCACACAGATGGTGTACAGTGGGATACGGCTTGAGGCGCAGCGCGTCCCGCGTATGGTTTAAACCAGTTTATACTGGTTTTTAAAACGCGGCTTGAGGCGCGGCGCATCCTCCACGCGTCCCTTACCTGTCGCGCACATTCCCCACTTCACCTCTGGTACCGCTAGCAGATAGACGTGTAATTTTTTGTGGTTGTGTTCGAATTTTTTGTGAAATTGTAAGTAAATTGACTAAACGATCATTAAGCAGCCAAACAAAAGAAATTTTATACAAATTGAATACGTATTTCAAAGATTTAAACGACAAGGATATGTCAAGTGTCGTTACGTCGGCCCAATTGGTAGCGACATCGACGGGAATTCCGCTGTCAACTGTAAAAAAGGTTTTATTAGAAGGAAAAATATCATTGTGATCGATCGATTTTGATAAAGCGGTAATTCGGAGAATACTTCATAACTTTCACATCACCGACAAACAGGTTCCCATTATGAAAATAGTACACGAAAAGTTCAAGGCAGAAATAAATTATCCAGGTGCAATTACGTCATTAAGAAAAGAAGTATCTCTATTAGGATTCAAGTGGAAAAAGGACAAAAGATAATCGCAGAATCCTTATGGAGAAACATGAAATACGATATTTTCGAATAATGTTTCTCATTAAAATTGCTGAATATCGCGCTCAGGGCCGCCCAATCGTTTATACTGACGAAACATATATAGATACGTCTCACACTTCGTCGAAATCTTATTCAGATGGAAGCACCTCTGGTTTAAAGAAACCAAATTCTAAGGGAAATCGGTTAATAATAGTTCATGCCGGCGGAGAGGACGGTTTCATACCCAATGCCCTACTCAAGTTCAAGGCAAACCAAAAAAGTGGTGACTATTATTATAATATGAACACCGAGAATTACACAAAATGGTTGCAAACGTAGCTAATTCCAAACTTAAAACTGAATAGTGTTGTGGTGGTTGACAATGCATCATACCACAATTCAAACATACAAAATCCCTCGCCCAATTCAAACCATCGTAAACAAGCTATGATTGATTGGCTCAAATATCGAAATATCGATCACTCTGGATCGATGCTTAAACCACAACTTTATCAGTTGATACTACAAAACAAAGCAAGATTTGTTGAATATAAAATTGATAATTTGCTCCAAGAACATGGTCACAGCGTTCTACGTCTACCACCCTACCACCCTGATTTCAATCCTATTGAAAATATATGGGCAATAGTAAAAGGATACGTAGCTGAAAAAACGTGTCAATGAATATGGACACTATAATAAGATTAACAAAGGAAAAAGTTGACGCGATCACTGTATAAGAGTGGAAAAATGTTTGTGACTATGCAGTTAAAGAAGAAAAAGCATTTGATGGTCAAGACGCCGCTATCGACGGTTTATCGGAGCGATTCATTATTAACACAGGCTCTGATGAGTCATCAGACGAGAGTGAAGATGAAGATGCAATGAGCGGAAAAGAAGAGTTATAATATTGTTATGTAGTTTATTACTGTTAGGTATTACTATAATTTCGGGTAATCAAAATATCAGCATTAACTTTTAATAAAACATTGATTTTTTACTAACTGTACTTTTGGCGATCACTCACACAAATGCAAAGCTCAGCTTACGCCGCGAGGACTGTACCTACGTGTTACTGGTGTTACCGAGTATCATCGCGATAACAATCCCGACCCCGAGTATAGAGTTTCATATGTGAGCGTAATGTTTTAACTTAGTAGTTTTACAATTTCATACAGGCTGTTATAAAGAAACAATTTTGCAAGTTTGAAATTTTTTAATAATTTTTTGAGGATGGATGGTATATACACAGTAGTTACATACATTTTGCTGAATTGACACTGCACTTGTGTGCAGAGTGCGCTCGGCGGCGAACGCTAATCGTTCCACGTCAATGTCCACGCTAGGCCGCTAACAAGTAGGAAATATTATTATATCGCCAATAATAAATAAATCTGTAAAATTATGATTCTTAACACTACATCAGTGACTTTTTTGATTTTAATTACTGAACCCGATAGGCACCTTCGGATGATAACACGCGCACAGTCCTGCACACTTCGTTTTGAGCGTCCTCATACGGCCAGCAGTGAAGGACCACGTCTCGGTTCCGTAGGTCATCACTGGCAACACGCACTGGTTGTACAACTTAGTTTTCAGGTTTTGAGGTATACCTGACGAGAAGATGTATCGTATTTTAAAATTGCCGGATTAGACAGGAGCTACATAACCGATTGTTCATTGTATTTTATACGTGGTAGAGCCATGTTACAGTTTGTTTATTTTTTATAGTATAAAGGTCCAAACGAGCGCACAGTCCACCTGATAGTAAGTGGTTGCCAAAGACATTTAAGTAGTTAACATATAATTTTTTTTATATGTAAGAGGGGGCAAACAAGCATACGGCTCACCTGATGTTAAGTGTCTTCCGCCGCTCATGAACATCCGCAACACCAGGGAAATTGCAGGTGCGTTGCGGCCCTTTAGAGAGGAGTAAGCTCTTTTTGTTGAAGGTCCCAGGTCGTATCGGTCCGGAAAAATCGCCGGTGGTAAACTGTTCCACAGAGAGGTCGTACACGGAAGGAAACTCTTTGTGAAACGTACAGTGGTGGAATTTCAATCTCTTTGGTGGTTGCTGTGGTCCACAGACATCATCTACATACTCGTATATTCTCGATTATGAATCAAAATGCAGATGCGTAGTCACCTATGAGGACTAAGATGGAATGCCTCGTTTCCAGTAAAATGAGTCTCCGGTTCTTCGTATGGTGCATGAGTGTATCCTATTCTTTAAAAAATATCTTTTGTGTTGGGTAGAACTAAGAGAACTTTATAAGCCTACTAGTAGTTTAGTGTTCTCCAGACCGAATTTCGGTCACAGGTTTAGATGAAGTAAAAAAGTCACAGGGGCCATTTTCAACGGAAACTAGCCATTTGTGATGGATTTTCTAAGGCTCTGAGGTGATACACAACTTTTTGACTCCAAGCTGCTATTTTGGTCCGACCTAGGGTTCGAACTGGGGACTACAAAATCAACAGCAACATTGCGGAATTAAATATATATATATATATATATATATATATATATATATATATATATATATATATATATATATATATATATATAAAAACGAAAACTTGTGAATTTAAATACCGAAATGTTTTACTTTGGCTGATCCGGCGAACCTAAACCTTCCTCCTAATACTGATTACCCTTTTTACTGGTGCCCTTCGGGGTGAAAGTTCATTGAAATATTCAAGTACCAGCCAAACCAGCAAGTAATGAAATCATCACTTCATCGTTTTCTAATGTGTAGCCTTATCTAATTTTTACTTGGTAGAGCATGGTAGAGCCACGTAGCTGTACGACTGATTGAAGATCAACCGCGACCGGGAAAGGGACCGGCGATCACAGAGTACAATGTAATCATACAAAATCATCATCATCATTAATATCATTACCTCCCCTACCCTTACCCTTATTAATGGATGTGGAATGAAATGGCTGAACCGATTATAGTCAAAACTTGACAAACAGAAAGAGAGCAACGCCAGGAGTGATTCAGGTTATAATCTATCCTAAAAATTTGGATTTTTTTTTATTGAAGCATCGAAAAATTGGTAAACTGAATGGTCTTTGATAATTTCTTTCATGTAAATAACGCCATATTAATAGAACCTAGCCGGGGTGGGTCGCTAGTGAATAAAATAAAAAATATTTAAAAATCATTAAAAATTATTTATTGTAAATTTTCCTCCACTTAATTTAACTTTTTTTAAATTATTAAGTTCATTATGTTATTAATAAAAAATACATATCATTTCTTCGCCAGACCATCAAAGAAATCTATGAAGTCTTTCAGATGTTTGTCATTTATAGCTGCTAACTTGGGTGCTGTTGATTTCACGAGGTCATACCATCTGTAAAATGTGTGTATTTATTTAGCATTCCATTTCGTCTCGTATCGCAAGTGCTCGTTACTATTACAGTCTATTGAAGTCCACTGTTGGACATACGCCTCCCCCACAGATTGCCTCATAAGGGCAATATTTGCCATAGTTGCAACGCTTTGCAAGCGGGTGGGCAACCGCACTTTTTTACTTTAGTCATTATTAGCAAGACGCTGGTGTACATCTCCTGATTTGTTTCCACAGTCACCTCTTACGACACCTCGGGGTGCTATGGGCTCGTGGATATTCTTACACCGCCACTGTTCGGTATCGCGACTATATAAAATGCAAGTAAAATCTCATTATAAGTATCTTCTTATAAATAAAGAAATTTGAACCTTCAAGCCATCAAACAAAAATGCCTAAAGTAATAATGAGAATACCAATTATTGCTCAGAGTAAAGCCATTGGATTAATAGCTGAAGTGCCCGCGTTCCCGAGTGAGTCAATTTCATTCTCCGAAATTGTTAATCACCGAATGAAGTACAATTCAATCTCTTTGAAATTAAATAACATCTTGAGGATAGGTGACGTCTGACATACGCATATACAATATGTAAAAACATAATGTCCACACTGTGGTGGACATAAAAAAATCTTAATAAGTATAACTGAATATGAAAACACTCGAATCATTCTTTATTATTCTGTAAGTTTTTTTTTTAATTTACGAGGTAATTATTTATCACCATACTACTCTATTTTTCACTTTAAGTTATATGTTATCTCACCTGACAATATTGGGGTATTCCTTCACGCTGATGTTGCCGGCTTCTATGAATGACACAGTAACAAACAGAGCTAAATCAGCTAACGTCAGCTCCGAGCCAGCTACGTACTTGGTGTTCGCTAGGAACGTGTCTAAGAAACCAAGCGCCTCCTGTATCTTTTTCAAACCTGACTCTTCCAGCGGTTTCCCTTCGAAGAAGTACTTAAACTAGAACAAAAATTATTTCTGTTGAAAGTTAAGACTATTTCGAACTTATATTTTCTATCCGGCTTAACAAGGACCATCCATAAAAGAAATAGTTCCATGACACACTTACATAATACTCTGTGAATCTGCCGTAAAGAGTATCCAGGTCAAAGTCCAGTCTTTGGTCAACGACCGCACGCGCTTGAACGTCTACAGGGTAAAGAGCGTTGCCTTTACTATACTTGTCAACTAAGTATTTGGAGATCGCGCGAGACTCCCACAGAACGAAGCCGTCGTCCACGATGGTGGGTGCAGTGTGCTGGGGGTTCATCTGAAGAACAAGCATTAATTATTTGTAACAGCTCGCAAAAGGATTCTGCGCGGGACATAGGTCTCTCTTGTTGTCGCTCCAGGTTTACCACTATCGTCTCGACCTCTTGGCAGACGGATCAACGATGCAGTAGCAGACTGATAGCTCGCACCTTTCTTTACTGCAGGTTTTTACGTTGGAAGCCATAAGAACTTTCTGGCGTATTCCATAATTACAATTAAAACACCCAAAAGCGTAACAAAAAAAGATTTCGAAAATTAATATTTTTAATTTGAGTTAACCGCGTGGTGGCGGTGACAGAATATCCTCCACCACATACCGTCCCGTAGGTGTCGTAAGAGGCGACAGAGGAAAACTGAAACAGCACATGGGCAACATCAGTAGTTAGGTTGTACCAGTTCTGGCGCACTTGTAGAAAGGTTGTACCAGTTCTGGCGCACGACGTTCGTCGACTCACAATCCTAAAAAAAAAAATAAAAAAAAAAAGGTTTTGGCATGCTCTGATCACGAATCTGCGGGTCCATTTTTGCGTAGGATGCACGGTTCCGGAGATGAGCAGATCAATTAACTCTTATCTAATTGATATCCGCTACGAGCCTCAACCGTCATTAGCGCTCCATTGTCCTTATCTACTTATCTATTGTTGATTGACTACCGTCATTATCTATTATTCGTCGGCGTGTGGGTCGGCTTATGCTATTGTATTATACTCCTTTTGGTTGCGCGGAAAACCATTCGCGTTTTTTATTTTTGACGGTAGGAATTTGTCGAATCATTATTCCCTTCCGAAACAATATCATTCGTACCCTCCTATCGACACATCGGGGTGGTGGGGTGGGAGGGGAAAGAAGACGATTCTAGAACATCGCGTAATCATCGGACCCGAGGATATATAAGACACGCGCGACCGACGCGCGCTCTCTTCTCCCGCCGCAGTCGTCGTTGAACTACAACTCTCTCTTCCCGCGCGCTCGTTTGGAAACACCTCACTAGTGGAAACCGCCTTGGCCTGGAAGCAGTCGAGCTCCAGGAACCCGCCTCACCTCGTGTGAGATATCGTCGCGCACCGCCTCTCTCCGGAGTGTTCCGGAAGTCGCCGCTATAGTGATCGACAGGAAGAAGAAACCCCGGTGAGTCAATACTCCTTAATTATACCTGCTTGCTAATAATTTAACCCGCTCCAATTTGTGTTTTTTTCCTAGTCAAGCAGGATTCCTTTCATCGATTCGACAAGTAATAGTTTAGTTTAGGGAAGAGCGAGTGCATTGTACCGCATGCTATAGTAGTCGCTTCACATAAGCATAGAAGCAATCGCATATACAGTCCACTTTAGTTAATATCTCGCGTAATAGGTTTGAGGTTTGACCGGGGAACTAGATTTTCGGCAGCCTTAAACACGTGGCTCCACCATTTTATGGTCACTTCGGCAGGATCTGGATTGGTGTTTAGTGGTTATCCAACCATTTTCTGGTCGAATTATTAAATTAATTGTTTAGATAACGCACTCTAACTTATGGAATAGACTTAAATAGTGTTCGTTTAAATTAAAATTTTGATTTGTTACTCGCAAACAGAATTATTCATTTAATAGCGCTCGTATTTGGTTAAATTTAAAGCTTATTAAATAATTGAAACGGCGTGATAGCAACCGTTTGATACGCTTACCCCACAATTTTATAAAATTATTAGGTTTAGCAAACGACGCGTAGCCTTGACTGCATCGGGCGCTCGATCTGATTACGTAATACAGCACGCCGAGTATTCATCCTACGTCGTTTATGCGTGTGAGATTAATTGTGATTAATATAACTTTATTATAATAATTTAAAATGGCAGTTAGTGGAAGTGAAATCAAAATTAAAACGCTTTATGCCAAGAGGGACATACTCTTTTCGCGTGTGCAAAATATAAGTGATTATATAAAGAACATTCATATAGAGGCAGTACGGGAGGCCTTTTTAAATGAAATCGAAACGATTGATAATTTGCGGACAGATTACGAAAGAATATTAGACCAAATTAATCATTCGGAACTACAAACCGACCCGAAATACATAGTGAACTACCAACCGCTGCTGGCATTCGAAGATATGTTGTGTCGCGTGAAGAGAACCGCAAAATTGCTACAATCTCAAGGTGAAGCGAAGCCTGAAATGCAGGTACGCCCTCGTGACTCAATTAGGTTACCGCCAATAGATATTCCGGTATTCAATGGTGATATTAAGACGTGGCCCTTCTTCTTCAGTAGTTTTCAAAACAATATACACAACAACCCATCGTTATCGGACGCTGAAAAATTATATTACTTAATTAGCAAACTTAGTGGCAGAGCACAGTCGATCTGCTCGGGTTTTACACCTACAGCAAACAATTACGTATTAATATTTGAAACGCTTAAAACTAAATATGAAGATAGGAGAATGTTAGCTTCCGAATATTTGAACCAGATATTCGATCTTAAACCTATATCATCCGCGAACATCAACGGCTTAGAGCAGTTTCTCGATAAATTTGTGGCATCGGTGGCTGCACTTAAGAATTTGAAGTTTGATGACCTTATGGACGTGGTGTTTCTCCATATAGCATTAAAGAAATTAGACTCCGACACCGTGCGTGCGTTTGAAATGGAGCATCGTAGCTCGGAGATGCCTTCCTTTCATTCATTAGCATCGTTCGTGCGAGATCAAATAAAGGTGATGCAGCGCTCACCGAACGTTAAACAGGAGATTAAAAGGTGCGTCGACCGTAGACAGACTCAACCATCTAAAATAGCAGGGTCGTTAACTTACGTAACCGCTACGCCGACATCGCTCCAGCATACTTGTATAGTATGTAAAGATAAACACGGTAACTTATATAACTGTGCGACTTTTCGTAAATATTCACCAAGCGAACGTTATAAGTTAGTAAAGACAAACAACCTATGTTTGAACTGCTTAAGCGATAAGCATTTAGTTGCAAAATGCAATTCGAGTTCCGTATGTAGCAAGTGCGCCAGGAAACATCACACGCTATTACATTTTGAAAATAGCAACATAGCGGCGTCAAGTAAGGCGAATAAGGAATTCACCCCTACTAAGGTCAACGATTCTAGCGGTCGACCTGATGATGTCGCTCTGTGCTCATTGGCAAATATGGGAGCACAACCTCCTTCAACCGTGTTACTGGGTACGGCGCGTATTTTGGTTAGGGATTCGCGTGGAAACAAACAAAGCGTCCGTGCACTGCTGGACAGCGGAGCCCAAAATAGCTTTATAACACGACAATGTTGTCAGCGCTTAGGCTTAGTAATAAATAGGTCACTTTCATGTCCTGTAGTTAAAGGCATCGGAGGTACTAGTAAAGCGACACAGGGATATATAAATTTAAAATTTTATTCTCGGATAGATCGTAACGTTAACTTTGATATAAATGCACTAGTAGTAGATAGGGTCACTGAACGGTTGCCAACCGTTTCGGTTGACACCTCGGCAATGATTGAATTTAAAAATTTGACTCTAGCAGACGACACTTACGCCGTTCCTGGAAACATAGACATGCTCATTGGGGCATCGCTTTTCCCTCATCTTTTGTTAAACAATAAGGTCAGGGGCAACTCCTCGCATACCGCGCCTTACGCACTGGAAACCGTATTGGGCTATGTGATCCTTGGCTCCGCCCCCATCCTAGATAGTATTTCGGCAGCCTCTTATTGTGGTATGGCTGTCGAACCGCTCGAGTCGTTAGTCCGCAAATTTTGGGAGATGGAGGAGGTGAACGTCCCACCCATAGCTAGTTCAGCTGACAGGATATGCGAGGAAATTTACGTCCGCACGACCGTTCGTGATCGCGACGGTAGATATAGTGTAGCGCTACCCTTTAAGGGAGATGTTTTATCTCTCGGCGATTCGCGTCAAATGGCGGAAAAACGTTTCTACAGCTTGGAGCGTAGGATGCTCGCTTCGCCCCAGTTAAAGGAAGCTTACGACGGCGTCATTAACGAATATATAAGAGAAGGTTACATATCACTTGTGGCTTCGAAATTAGATAACTACGAAGACACACCGTCGTATTTTATACCACACCACGGAGTCATTAGAGAGGACAAACTTACATCTAAATTACGTGTAGTGCTCGACGCTAGTGCTAAAACTAGCACTCACCTGTCGCTTAACGATATCCTCTATAGTGGGCAAAATTTACAGGGCAGCTTATTTGATATAATAGTCAATTTTCGTTTGTTTAGTATAGCACTATCCGCCGATATTCGCCAAATGTTTCTTTGCATAGGGGTCCGTGAATGCGACCGTAGATTCCAGCGCATTTTATATCGTTTCAACCCAAAGGAACCTCTAATGGTGTTTGAATTTAACCGCGTTTGTTTTGGTTTAAAGTCGAGCCCATTTCATGCGTTACGCACGGTGAGACAGCTCGCTCACGATGAAGGTCCCTCTTATCCTAAAGCTAAGAGGGCAATTGAGAGCGGATTATATATGGATGATTTTGTGTATTCGGTCGATAGCGTGGAGGAGGCCACCCTAACCACCGCCGAGGTTATAAGGCTCATGAAATCAGGTCAATTCGATCTTGTGAAGTGGACTAGTAATTCGCGTCCGGTTTTAGATACAATCCCACTATCACACCGTCTTTCGGCGATAAAGGAATTCGACGATTCCGATACACACAAGGTGCTCGGTCTGTGTTGGTCACCAGAGTCCGACGTGTTTAGCCTTAAGGTAAATCCGCCCGTAGAGAAATGCACAAAGCGCACAATACTGTCATGCGTTGCTAGATTATGGGACGTCATGGGTTTCGTAGCTCCGGTGGTATTATACGCTAAGCTTTTGATTAAACAACTTTGGTTATTTGAATGCGATTGGGATGACTCGCCGCCTGACAGCATTGTTCGATTGTGGCAGCGCTTTAGAGAGGAGCTTCCTTTACTAAGAGAAATTAAAATACCGCGTCATATAAATGTCGATAGAAATAGCAGCATAACGGTTGTTGGATTTGCAGACGCC